GCTACCTGGATGACAGGGATGGAGGAGTATTTCTTTTCCAGGCGGCGAACGTAGGCTGCGAGCTCCAGGGCCTCTTCGTAATAGCTGTTTCGGACACAGGTATCCATGAGCTGAGGGATCTCTAAGATCTCCAGGATTTCCGTGTGCCGGTTCAGCGTCAGGGTGTTCATCCGACGGCTGGAGCTGATCTCCTCGGCCTCTTTCACAAAGTTCCTAGTGCAATCGGGAGAACGTTGGTTGCTCACTGCTCCGCACCCAAACCTTAATTGTAAGGTTTTAACCTTCAAACCAAATTATGAGGTAAGCACCCTTGAGGAAACTTTAATCTCAGGTTAAGCACCTTGTCCAAGATCACACAACGAACAAATGGGAAAGATCTGAACCCAGATCGGCCACTTAACTGGCCGTAGCAGGGTAGTCAGGCTTTCATAACTGTTTCCTCATTTAGTAAAATAATAAGGATGTAAGGATTAAATGAGATGATGTGTGTAAAGTACTTAACACAGAACCTGACTCAGACTAAACGTTCCTTTAAGAACAGCTCAGTCTGTTCCTATGCTGTTGTTAACCTTGGTTCCCACCCGTTGCCATTTCTTCTGCATAAGGGCAGTCATCTGTTCCACAAAGTCCCCTCTCTATTCTGGGTGGGTACAAGAGCTACTGTCAATTAGCCAAAGAGTCAAAAGAACACTTACAAACGTTTATCATGAAAGGCTGGAAGGCAGAATTAGGGATAATGGACTGAGGGCCTAAGGAAGCAGAATGACTCAAAAAGAAGGAATTTAAAAAAAATAATAGTAATTTTTGCCAACCCCAAATGGTAGGATTTCCTTGTCAGTTTCCCATCAATGAAAGTTTTGGAGCAGAAGACTTCCGGTCCTATGTGTTGTATCTATATGTATGTTTAGGTATCTTTACATAAATACGCTTACCTAGTACGCTGCCAAGTGTTGACAGTTAAGTATGTCAGGCCCAAGTCTCACTGCCTTGCATGGATTCTCTTTATTTGTTGCTCGCACCACCCTCCGAGGGAGGGACGTGCAGCCGGGATCCCATTTTGACCAGGACACGTCACAGCTGGGCCCTGGGACAAGCACTGACCTCTCCGGGTCTCAACTTCCTCAGACATAAAATGGGAAAAACAGTACCTACCCCGGAGACTGTTGTGGATTTTAAATGGATTAATCAAGTGCTCGGAGAGCCTGGGACAGGGTAAGCGCTACCTAAGTGTCTGCTATCTCATCAAGGCAAATGTCACTATGGCCGTCGTTTCAAAGCCCCTTGGGCACCGGCCCACCGCACCTGCAGCTCTGCTGGAAGCTGGGCAGGCGGTCGAGCAGGCGGCCGACCGACGCCTCCACGTCGCCAAACAGGCGGTGGATGCGCTCGGTGCACTCGGCGCCGCGGATGAAGGTCTTGTAGTTGGCGAAGGCCAGGTCGCGCGTTTGCTGCAGCAGCTGGGCGCGCTCCTCCGCCAGGCGCTGGGGCTCCCGCCGCAGCCGCTCCAGCCCGGAGCCGCTCAGCTCCCGGAGGTAGCGGCCCACGTCGGGCCGTTCCCGCCACTGGGCCTCGGGGAAGCGATCCCGGAACAGCGACGCCAGGAGCCCTTCATCCTCCACGTCCCCGAGAGCCGCTGCGGTGGCCGTGGAGGAAGCCGAAGCGGAGGACGGGATTACCTCCGTCGTCGCCATCTTCCCGGCGGCAGCGTCACTTCCCCTTCCGGCCCAGAGGGGGCGCTGGCTCCGAGTCTAGGACCGGAAGCCACAGAGGTGCACTTCCCGTCTCGATGGTTTCTGATTCGGCGGCGCTGGCGTGGGGAACCAATGGAGAGCGGGCTTTGGGGTTGCCAGGGAGAGCGCGGCTGACTTCCTCTTCCGGCGACTGAGGCACGAGGATCCGGTGTCCCAACAGCGGGAAAATGCGGCCTTTGACTGAAGAGGAGACCCGTGTCATGTTTGAGAAGATAGCGAAATAGTAAGAGCGCGGGGGGCGGAAGAGGGGGAGTGTGTGGCAGAAAGGGGCGAGGGCGGCGCGGGGCCGGGTCGGGCCGGACCTGTCGGTTCGGGCGCGGCCTCCAGGCCTCCTCTTGCCCACAGCATCGGGGAGAACCTTCAGCTGCTGGTCGAT